AAGCAGCTAGTATTATAAGCATGAGCACTCAGCTAGTTTTTAGTTACTGGATTTACCGAAGTCCTAGCCAAATAATAAACTTGACATTCACCCTTGTGTTTTGGAAGACATACTAGATAGCATTATGGAAAAGGACAATGCTCATGTATTTGCTTGTTCTTGTGCTTTCCTAAGGCACAACGACATGAATATGTTAGATTCTCAAGTGTTGCATCTTGGATATGTAACGCTAGTGAATGAGGCACAATCCTGAGCTATAGTGATGGTCCCATTAAATGCACTAGTATGCCTAGAACCCAATGAACATCATCGCTTACCACATGGCATCTTCTTTCTCTCTCTTTTCTCTCTCTCTCTCTCTTTTACTGTGTGTGTGTGTGTGTGTGTGTGTGTGTGTGTGTGTGTGTGTAGCACTGCTGTTTCATGCTTGAGCCATACCTCTAGTCCCTTTGGGTACTTTTTGAGATAAGGTCTTGCTTTTTGGCTCAAACCAGACTGGTCGTGATCCTCCTGATCCCACTGTATTTGGGATGACAGATGCATGTACCATGCCCAGCTTTTGTTTTTCTGTTGAGACGGATTCTAAAGAACATTTCTGTGTCTGAGAACTACAAAGTTCAGGTGTAAGCCACCATGGGTAACTATTGGATGAGAAAGGGAAAAGTTTCCCAAAGTTGTTTTTTCCCCCTCAGGATTCCTTTGAACTGTAGTTTTCCCAACCTCAGTTTCCCAAGTAGCTATGATTATAGATGTGAGATAATATACTTGGCATTATATGCCAACTTTAAATCATAAGAAAGAGTTTGAAGTGGTTTGAAAGAAAGATCATATCTTAAGAGAAAAATAAGATAGGAAGGAGGAAAGGGTGGACATTTTCAGGGAAAATGAGACTATTCAAATAAACCTGAGATTTTTTTTTTTATCTTTTACTTCCTCAACAGTTCAAGTGACACCGAAGACACTTCCTTGGATGACCCCACTAGTTCCTTTTATCAAACCAACTTCTTTGTCATAGTCTGTCATTTTGCTTTATTCTGGGAGTGACCATAGTTCAGTCCCAGGAGGGCAGTAGGATATCTGAACATCAATGACAAGAAAGCAAAGGGACTAGGGAGGAGGCAAATCTCCATTGACTCTAAGATCATTGTCATTAACATAAAACGTTTTCTTAAGTTCTATCTGCTGGGGAGAACTGAACTTTTGAAGATTAGAAAAATGTAACCCCTAGAGGATATATGGCAGATAAACTTTAGACATGCTGAGTCGCTTGAAAACCCAAATGGGAAGATAAAGCAGCTCCTTTGTGCTCTGGGGCAGGGATCAAACCATTATAAAGGCACTTACCTAAAGGAGGCCTGGTGTGCGAACACGCACACCCTAACTACGGTAAAAATAATGATAGTCAATTTCCCATCATAGAGAGCATTTCCTCCTGGGAAAGCCTAAAGTGCTCTAAAACTATTTATTTGTAAAATAAAGGTATATGTATTTCCCTCTATATATAGTTATTTGCAAAAAATAAAAAATAATCTATTCTGGGATGGAATGTTGTCAGCTATGCGATGTTAAAATACCTCTATTACCCTCCACTTCATTCCCCAGGGTTAATGTCCCTAACACCCTAGAGTACAGGAATTAGCACATGTCTCATCCAGTCTAGAATCTGCAGGCGACTTGTGGCCCCAGATCCTTGCTTTCCAACCACTATGGCTTCTGTCATACCATTATCCTCTGACATCCTCATCCTCTCTACCTCCTTTCCCCCACATTCATGGCTTTCTGGTTTCTAGATGGCACTATGAGCCAGTGGGAAAGAAGAATGACTCTCAGAAGATGATGGCACAAGAATCACCAGGAATGTCTAAAACAACTGGACTAAGATAATAGGACTGGCTGGATTGTATCCACCCAGTGTAACTGTTTGGAACAGTAGAGCCTACTGAGCGCTCTAGCCAGCCTTCAATGGGCTTAGATGGTAAATTATGGTCATTTCAACCAACAACAATAGCAGCTATCTATCCTCAACCCTCAATGCTGTGGCCACTGCGGTGCATGAGTTCCTGGAGCCACTTGTCTGAGGTTCTCAGGAGCCAGAGTGAGCACCAAGTGTTTGTCATTCAAATAGCTGGGATCTGTGTTCTAACCACCTAATACTTTCAGAAGTGCACCTACCTGCACAGCCATAGTGCACTGACACTCATGGTTACAAGTCCCTCCCCTTTGTAAATCAGTGCCTGAAACAGCCTGTGGCCATTCCCCCTCTGCTTTTTAAAAAAAGTCCTTCCTTTTTCTAAACTCAAGTAACTAGGACTGGTGGCATAGCACAAGTGATAGAAACCTGCTGAGAAGCATGAAGCCCTGAGTTTAAACTTCAGCACTTCCAAAATTAAGAAAGGACAGAAAGAAAGAAAGACAGACAGAAAGAAAGAGAGAGAGAGAGAGAAAGGAAGGAATTAAGGGGGGTCTGGGAAGGTGGCTCAGTGGTAAGGTGCTTGCTTCCCATGCATGAGTCCCTGGGTTCAATTCCTCAGCACCACATAAACAGAAAAAGCCAGAAGTGGCTCTGTGGCTCAAGTGGTAGAGCCCCAGTCTTGAGCTGAAGAGCTGAAGGACAGCACCCAGGCCCAGAGTTCAAGCCCTACAACCAACAAAAGAGAGAGAGAGAGAGAGAGGGAGAGAGAGAGAGAGAGAGAGAGAGAGAGAAAGAAAGAAAGAAAGAAAGAAAGAAAGAAAGAAAGAAAGAAAGAAAGAAAGAAAGAAAGAAAGAAAGAAAGAAAGAAAGAAAGAAAGAAAGAAAGAAAGAAAGAAGGAAGGAAGGAAGGAAGGAAGAAAGAAGGGAGGGTGGGAGGGAGGGAGGGAGGGAAGGAGGGAGAGAAGGAAGGAAGGAAGGAAGGAAGGAAGAAAGGAAGGAAAAAGAAAGAGGGAGGAAGGATAGAAGCAAAGCAAGACTAAACATTAACAAAATGAACATTAACTAGCCGGGAGCTGGTGGCTCACGCCTGTAATCCTAGCTACTCAGGAGGCTGAGATCTGAGGATCGCGGTTCAAAGCTAGCCCGGGCAGGAGAGACTGTGAGACTCATATCTCCAATAAACCATCAGAAAACTGGAAGTGGCACTGTAGCTCAAGTGGTAGAGCGCTCGCCTTGAGCTGAAGAGCTGAGGGACAGCGCCCAGGCCCAGAGTTCAAGCCCCACGACCGACCAAAAAAAAAAAAAAAATGAACATTAACTACTGTGATGGGAGATCTCAGGAGGATGGATACCCTATGCCCATGGCCTTGCCACTTGCAGCCCAGGTGGCCTGTCTCTTGGGATGCTCCACTTCCTGCCTGCAGCTTTCTTTGGCAGTCATTCCACATTCCTAACTGTTCTCACATCTTGGGGTCTCCGCTGACTGCAGCTTTGACTTTACTCTTGCAGCTTCATACAGCCCAACTTCATTTTTTTAAATGAGAGAAAGAGAGAGAGAAAGAAAGAAGGAGGAGGAGGAGGAGGAAGGAAGGAAGGAAGGAAGGAAGGAAGGAAGGAAGGAAGGAAGGAAGGAAGGAAGGAAGGAAGGAAGGAAGGAAGGAAGGAAGGAAGAAAGAAAGAAAGAAGGAGGAGGAGGAGGAGGAGGAGGAGGAGGAGGAGGAGGAGGAAAGAAGGAAGGAAGAAAGAAAGAAAGAAAAGAAAGAAGGTAAATCCAAGCTAGACGTAGGAAGGGAATAACAAAGATGAAAGTGAAGATCAACAAAATAGTAAGTATAGCTGAGAAAATGTTTGTTGAAAAGATCAACTTTTAGGAAATGGGAAATGGTTTAATAGACTTCACTTTCACAAAATGAAAGGGAGTATGAGTCATGGTGATGTTCAACATTATAAAAGTATTTGAGACCACCCAATTGTTCACTTAAAATGATTCTGACAATAGATTTTATCTTGTGTTTTTGCACAACAATAAATGGAAAATAAAAGCAAATGGAAAGTAATTATTGGCCCAGTGTCTAAAGATGGATTCATTTTATAGGCTTCTTCATGCCAATGCTTTTCCAACTTGAATAAATAATGGGGAATCTTGTTAAGATTCAGATTCTGCACTCAGTAAGTCTGGAGTGGACCCAATATTCTCCTTCTCTAACAACTTTCAAAGTGAAGCTTATGTTGATACTGGTCCATGGCCCATATTTTGAATATCAAGGTTTTATAAAATTTGTGAAGGTCAGATAGACAACATCTGAGTTTCAAACCAAACACATTAAATAATTGACAGATGCCTCAAAATGAGATGAGATGCAATACAATATGAGATATGCCCTTTCAGAACAGTAAATATGGCAAGTTCTACGGAGATTGAGTCTCAGGTTATTGTCTATTGCTAGATAGAAAAATTATTGGCCCAAAACAACATGAAACATTTATTTTGCTCATGCATTTTGAATGTGGGCAGAGCTTTACAAAATCATTTGTTCCTGTTCCATATGGCACCAATTGGGATTGCTCAACTGGGGACTGAAGTGGCCACTTTCAAAATGCCTCCTTCTGATGGCTGGCAAATTACTGGCTTTGAACTGTGAAATCAGCTTGTGCTGTGCAACAACACTCTTTGTTACTCTCTGCAGAGCCTTTCCCAAAGATATTTATGCTTTCTTATAGCATAGTGACTGTATCCTAGGAAGAAGAGTGTCAAGGGAACAAAATGAAATCCATGACAACTTTATGATCCGGCCTTGGAAATCATATAACATCATTTCTGCCATGCTTTAGTAGTTGGTACAAGGCCTACCAGATTCAAGAACAAAGACCTGACTACCTCTGGCGATGCAAAAGTTCTAAATGGCAAAGTTCGAAAGGAAGGTAAGAGATGAGACTTATTATCAAGGTCAACACTGAAAAATGTAGTTTTCCATACCCATCAACCCTTCACATTTTAGACGCAAATAAGGAATTGATTCAGATTAAAATTCCCTCATTCTAGGTTTGGCGGTTGGGAGCTCATGGCTGGAAGTTCGCTGGTGGAGCGGTCATGTCCCATAAACAAAGTTACTATTCGGATAAATACGACGATGAGGAGTTCGAATACCGGCATGCCATGTTACCCAAGGACATAGCCAAACTTGTCCCTAAAACCCATTTGATGTCTGAATCTGAATGGAGGAATCTTGGCGTTCAACAGAGGCAGGGATGGGTTCATTATATGATCCATGAACCAGAACCTCATATCTTGCTGTTCCGGAGGCCACTACCCAACAAGCCAAAGAAATGAAGCTGGAGAACCATTTCCAACCTCAACTTTACACAACTTGTCCTTTCTAACATCTTTCTCATAGCATGAATATGTTGCTTTCTTATTTCTCACTTTGATATTTAAAGGATGTTTGATACACTGTTTGAATGTGCTGGAAACTGCTTTGCTTCTTGAGTAGAGCCACCACCACAGCCCTACCAGAGGAGTGCTTTGTGGGCTTCAAGCTCAGCTAAGTGGGATCTCAGAAGTCATGGTATCCACAGAGCACTTGACAAGAGGGAGGAAGCGTCTTAAGAATCAGACCATGGATAAAATTAACCCCCAAAAATCAATGGCTTTTCTGTATGCCAACAATGAGAAAAGTGTGGCTGAAATTAGGAAAGCAACTCCATTTGTAATAGCCCCACAAAAAATAAAATACCTAGGAATTAACTTAACTAAAGAAGTGAAGGACCTCTATGATGAAAACTTTAAAATCTTGAAAAAGGAAATCAACACAGAACTTAAAAAATGGCAAAACCTCCCATGCTCCTGGATTGGAAAGATTAACATCGTGAAAATGGCAATACTTCCCAAGGCTATCTACAAATTCAACGCAATACCTATCAAAATTCCACCCTCATTCTTCAAGGAAATAGAAGAGGCAATCCAAAAATTCATATGGAACAATAAAAGACCCCGAATAGCAAAAACGCTCCTGAATGGAAAGAACACTGCTGGAGGAATATCAATACCAAACTTCAAACTCTACTATAAAGCCATAGTAATCAAAACATCTTGGTATTGGCATAAGAACAGACCTCAGGACCAATGGAATAGAATTGAAAACCCAGAAATGAACCCACAGACCTATAGCCATCTAATCTTCGATAAGGGAGCTAAAACAATAGAATGGAAGACAGACAGCCTCTTCAGTAAATGGTGCTGGCAAAATTGGTTAACTACATGTAGAAAACTTAAGCTAGATCCTTATATATCACCCTGCACCAGAATCAACTCCAAATGGATCAAAGACCTTGAACTCAAAGCAGACACTCTGAAAACATTACAGGATGGAATAGGAGAAACCCTAGGTCTCCTTGGCTCAGGCCGAAATTTTCTGAATAGAGACCTGGAAACACAACAAATCAAAGAAAGGTTGGACAAATGGGATTGCATAAAGTTGCAGAGCTTCTGCAGGGCAAATGACATAGCTAGCAAGATCAATAGAAAGCCCACGGATTGGGAGAAGATCTTTACTAGCCATACAACGGACAAGGGTCTCATATCTAAAATATACTTGGAACTCAAAAAATTAAACCCCCCAACAACAAATCCTCAAAGAAACAACTGCCCAATAAATAAGTGGGCGAAAGACTTAAAGAGAAACTTCTCTGAAGAAGAAAGAAGGATGGCCAATAGACACATGAAGAAATGTTCAACATCCCTAGCCATAAAAGAAATGCAAATCAAAACAACATTGAGATATCACCTCACTCCAGTGAGAACGGCAAAAATCAAGAACTCTAACAACAACAGATGCTGGAGGGGATGTGGACAGAAAGGAACCTTAATTCATTGTTGGTGGGAATGTAAACTTGTTCAACCACTTTGGAAAGCAGTATGGAGGTTCCTCAAAAGACTCCACATAGAGCTCCCCTATGACCCAGCAATCCCACTTTTGGGCATTTACCCTAATGTTTACAAACAAGACCACACTAAAGCTACCAGCACAACTATGTTTATTGCAGCATTATTTACCATAGCTAAGATATGGAACCAACCCAGATGCCCCTCAGTAGATGAATGGATCAAGAAAATGTGGTATATATACACAATGGAATTCTATGCCTCCATCAGAAAGAATGACATTGCCCCATTTGTTAGGAAATGGAAAAACTTGGAAAAAATTATATTAAGTGAAGTAAGCCAGGCCCAAAGAAACGTAGGTCCCATGGTTTCCCTTATTTGTAATATCTAGTATATGTATGAGTCAAGCGGAAAAGGTCAGATAATGTGATGTCAGGAAAATGAACCCTTAGATGTGTATTTTAATGTTTTTTTCTTTCATGCATGTGTTTCTAACACATTTATAAGATTATCTCTTTGTTGCTTTGTATGTCCCTCCCCCATAGTATAACCCTTGCTTTCACTATATTTGATGTCAGTATAACTTGTGGAGGAGATGGGGAAAAACCAGTTGTTTAAGGATACAGGTGGACCTGTTGCAACAATGAGAAGTACAAGTTGTCATGTCCAAAACGAACTTTACAATGTTGGTGGGGGGGGGGCTGGGGGGAGGGAGGAAGGAGAAGGATTGGGATTAGGGGGGGAGGGGGGAGGCTGGGAAGGGATGTGAAGGATAAACAAAGGAGGAGGCTGCAATGCTTGGTAAGAAATGTACACATTATCCTGCCCATGTAACTGTAACTCCTCTGTACAGTATGTTCACAAATAAAATAAAATTAAAAAAAAAAAAAAAAAAAAAAAAAAAAAAAAAAAAAAAAAAGAATCAGACCATGGCTAAACCAGGGATGGTGTAAACCCACTATTTTATTTTTCCTATTGGGTATTGTTATGTATGGTGACTTGTGGATTTATCTCTCAATGTATTGGAAATTTTCCATTTTATTCAAGAAATCTGTTCTGTGTTTCAAGACTTGATTAAAGAGGAAGTTTTTATAATGTAAAAAAAATTCTCTCATTCTAGTCTCTCTTCATCCCCATTCATGTGCATTTTGAAGAAGAAAAGAAATGCAAAGCAATAGAAGAAATGGAAGAAAGGCTAGAAGAATAAAAGATTAGTTGATGAAGGTAGGAAAAAAGGAGAAAGCAAGGGAGATGTGAAGGCGAAAGGAAAACAAGCGATGAAAGACGAGTGTACATACAATTTAAATGTAAATTATGGTGAAAACTATTGCTTGCATTCCCTTACCTAAGCTGCTCTGCTTCATTGACTGAGCAACCTCCTTCTGTTATTTGCGGCCATTTCCGAGTAGAGGTGATATCGGGCTTGGTATTGGACAACTCTTTGCTGGGCTAATTTTTTTTTCTTTCCAGAACTGTATTATACCCAAACAAATACATTTAAACATTTAACATCAGGCTTTCTTACGTATAGTTCTCATCTACCACAGGACCACATTGGAGAAGAACGGAAGATTGGAATTGAGGAGGCGGAACCACATCACTTGCTTCAATAACTGCTTTCGACAACTTTTATTTGCCTTCTTAAAAGTTGAGATGATTTCAGTGAAAAACATTTAAAGATTGTTTATCAAACTAGATTACCATCCCTGCAATTTAAGATCACCATGATAAAGAGGTCTTCTTGTTCACAGTGAGAAATGCCTGTTATAATGAGCCATGGAAACACAGTGTCCCTTTTGCATACAGAGTTCTGCAGAGTGACTCCTGACACTGTTTCCTTGCCTGGCCCCGCCCACATCACTGTGCTCTCCTAGAGAATGTGATCTTCCTGTGAACACTGTGGAGGTTTAAAGTGGTATGAGAAAGTCACCTTATCCTCAATGGTTGGTGATTAAAGCAATGTTTCTTGTATTGTTACCCTGAACCAGCATTTTTCAAAGCCAGAAGAGAATGTTTCCACTACAAACTCTGTAACCAACTTAGTTCCAGACAAAACCTTGGAGCATGCTCTAGAGTGCTCTCCAAAAGACAAATCTCAGGATCCTCATTGTCAATCATAAATAAGGCTTCCCTTTTTTAAAAAAGAATGAAAACTGCTTGGAGCAATATGAATGGAAAGTATCAAGTTTAAAGAAGCAATTGCTGATTTTCACTTACACTTCGCTTACACTGGTTCTCTTAAGAGAACTATCCTCCCCTTTCCTGTACTCATTCCTCCCATTTCCCCAAGAAGTCAGGAATCCACCAGAGAGACAGCTGAGCTGAGAAAATGAACTGCCTAGATAGCTTTGGGTATGTCAGTTAATATCTCTGTGTGGAACTTCTACATGACATTAGAATAAGAATTTTTATTTCTCTATCTTCCCTTGGACTTTGCCAAACAAAGGCACTACAAAAAATGTTGAGGAAAAAGGATTTTTCTCATTTGTGGATTTTCCCCCATTTGTAACTACTCTGTCAGGATATGCTGTGTATTCTCAACACAGAAAGCAGAGAAATAAGACCTTACCACATTCATACATAGCAGAACAGCTGTATCATTAAGTACAATATATTCCAATGTTTAAAAAACAAACATGAAACTATGATGTTGAATAAAGGTCTATGCTCCTTAGCATGCCTCTATTTCATTCTGCTTGCATACTGCCCTGCAGTTACTTTCTGATTTTATATATCAGACCAAACTAGGCTTTAACAGTGCATGGTCTCTTGGTCCCCTCATTTAAGGGATGAAGAACCTGGAGGTTCACATTCAAGGTTGTTATTCTAGTCTCAGTGTATTTTCAATATGAGCATGCTACATTACTAATATATTTATGCCTAACCAAATGTATTTTTCAAAAAATATATTTATTGTTATAGTAAAGGTGATGTACAGAGGGGTTATAGTTACATAAGCCAGGTAATGAGCATATTATTTTTTGAACTAATGAGCATATTATTTTTTGAACGATGTAACCTTTCCATCACTCTCTCCTAGTTTTTCCCTCCCTTCCCCACTTACAAGTTGTACAGTTCATTTCCAACATAGTGAGCTCCACCCCTTACCATCTCAAAGGCAAATAAAATAATGAACAAAAGTAAAGGAAAAGACAACAAAAACAGCAACAAGTACAAAAACCTCTTGTTTCCATTTTTTATGATCATATACATATAGCTATTGAGCCTTTGTGATCCACTCCTAAGATCCACTCCTTTGGTCTCACTGGGTGAATGTCTAGAGATCTACATAATTTATCCTGTCTGAGTATATATATATATATAGATAGATAGATATATCCAGTATGTTTGCGTGTAGATTTATAGGCACATTCTAGTTATCGCAAATGAGGGAAAGCATATACCCTTTTTTTCTTTGGATCTGGCTTACTTTGCTTGATATAATTTTTCCAAGTCTTTCCATTTCCTTATGAATGGT